ACATAAAGACAAAGGCAGCTGTTGTTACAAATGATCATGGCAGATATGTATTGGGTAACAAAACTGCCCAATTGTTAAAAAATAAATCATTCTTAAATTTAGAAAAAATAAATGCAGTTTTGACATGATCTCAAGTAAAATGATATCATGAAGAAGATCGAAGTAGAGAAACCGAAATGGAGAAACTAGAACTACTGACGTTTATTGAGACTGACGAAGATATTTTACCGCAAGCTGATGAGGAAGACAAGGAAATTAAGAAAGTGATTAATGTTAATTCTAAAGAATTAATTGAATCTCAGCATTAAAGCAGAGATCTAACCTCATTGCTTAGCGAAGCTAAAAATGAAAATTCCACCAAGATTTCAAAGTAAAGGAGAACGAGTTGTCGTGAAAAAGAAATAAGATAAAAATGGAAATGAAAGGAAATTAATTGTTATCCCTAAAAAATATAGAGATCAAATAAAGTCATTATGTCATGATAGCACATCTGGACATTTAGACGTCATCAAAACTAAAGATAGATTAACAAGACACTTTTACTGGCTTAATTGCTATAAAGAAATAGAAGAGTATGTTAAAACTTGAGATCCATGTCAAAGAGTGGGAAAAACTAATGATAAAGCCAAAGCACCTTTGACTTTAGTACCAATTATAGCAGAAGTATTTTCAAAAATTAACTTTGACGCATGCGGCCCTTTACCAATAACACTGAATGACAACAGATATTTAATTACAGCTATTTGTTTAGCTTCAAAATGTCCGGATGCTGTACCTGTCTCTAATATTGGCACAACATCAATAATTGAAGCCATGTTACAAATATTTAGTAGAATGGGTTTCTCGAAAGAAATACGAACTGATCAAAGTACCTCCTTTATGAGCAATGTAGCCATTGAATTTGTAAAACATTTGGAATAAAAATAACTAGAAGCTCAGTACATCATCTGCAGAGCAACCCTGTTGAAAGATTTCACCGAACAATCAAACAAATTTTAAAAGTCTTATAGATCGAAGCAGCCCCTGAGTGAGAGAAACAAGTTCCTGCAGCTCTATTTGCTTTAAGAACAATAATGCACGAGAGTACAGGATTTAAACCTGCAGAATTAGTATATAACCGAAATCTTAGATCACTTGTAACATTATTATATGAACAATGGATGAATCCTGAAGATGAAGGAAATAATGTTGTTGAATACGTTTTTCAATTCATAAATCGGTTAAAAAGATGCTACAGATAAAATTCTGGAAATGCAAACCAAAAGAAAAGTGTAGTACCATCGCAAAGCTATTAAAAGAGAATTCTCTGAAGGAGATTTAGTATTAGTTGTATCAACAAATAAACCAGACTAGCAGTTGAATGGAAAGGTACTGGGAAGGTTGAGAAGAAATTATCTGAAACTAACTATGTTGCGAGTTTCAAAGAAAAAAAAAGACTTTAATCAAGTCTATCATGTTAACCTTATCATAGGCGAGCAGAATCGGTTAATCTTATGATTACAGAAGATCAATCTGAAATTGATGATATGGAGAAAAATTTTCGAACAACTGACTCTGAATCAACATTGTTTGATTTTGAGTATATTAAAGAAAACAGTTCCTTAAGTGATAAGCTAAATAAAAAATAGATTCAAGAATTGCATGATATACTGCTGAAGTTTTCAAAAATCTTTTCTAAGAAGCCTGGAAAATCTCATTTAATAACGCATGATATTCAATTGACAGGAAACACCCCAATCCACCGTAAACCATACAGAATGTCTCCTAGACAAACAGATATATTAAAAACAGAAACTGATAAAATGCTTAAGCATAATATAATTGAAATAGGAGATTCAGATTACAGTCAAAAGTCGTTAATTCGGACACCCATAATCCGGAATGATCTATAATCCGGACCTCAAAGCTAAAATCTTTCTGCACATGCGCCACATTGACGCATGCGCATAGGCGTTTTACTCGTGCGCCCAAGACATTTACGACTGCGCATATGTGTCTGCGCAAGTGCAGAATACGTTGTCGTGTGCGCGTTTAATGTATACGGACGGTATAAGCTAAAATTATCTAATTATCTATTTCAGTTAATGTTGATGATTGCGTTGTTCCTTAATCTTCGAATTGGATCCGGCTTATTATTTTTTGCAAACTGTAAGAGCAATTTTCTAAAAGTAAGTTTGAACTTTTGATTATGTCAAATAGAATTTCCGATGCTGGAGCTCCCAAAGGATCTAGAAAACGAAAGTATGTTTCGATGTCCATCAAACAAAAAACGAATTGCTACAAAAAATGGATAAAGGCATATTCTTTGTTTATCTAACCATTCGGAAATCTGTTTATCAATTTCACCCTGCTCTGCGCGGGGGAGGGGGGGGAAGATGTCCAGGTGCGCAATGAACTGGAAGTTGATTTGTCAACACTATCATTATCTTCAGAGCAGATGTTTTTATTTTATTCGGCTTATAATTCCTTACTAAATGTAGTATTTAATTTCGATGTACTCCGTGTTTGATATGATTTAAATCAAATTCCTCGTCATTATAAATACCACAAATACAAATCAAATAGTTTTCTGGTTGCAATTTTCTAATTTCGGCTATGCGTAAGGTATGCTTTACGCATCCGCGTGTTGAAAGAAATGTTTAATAAAGTAAACAAATAAATATTAGGCTTCTTTTTTAGTAAATTTTGATACCCTTTAGATCATAATTGCTCATTATTTTATAAATTACGGTTTCATATTTTTAATTTTATAATTTCTGCATGCCATCTTACCAGATTTAAACTGATGATCTATAATCCGGAATCGCCGAAGTCCCACTTTTGACTGTATACTTCTATGATTTTAGTGGAAGTAGCAGGGTGGGATCCAAGACTTTGTATCAACTATAGAAAATTGAATAAGTTGACAAAAACACAATTCTTTCCCTTGCCTAACATCGAACAAAGAGTAGAAAGAGTAGCAGGCATAAAATATATAACTCTTTTGGATTTAACAAAGGAATACTGGCAAATACCTTTAACACCTCAGGCTCAAAGATTAGCCACTTTTGTTACAAGTTTTGGCACATTTAGACCTGTATGGATACCTTTCGGACTTAAAAATGCACCATTTTCATTTAGTAAAATGATGGCTGAAATCCTTCACGGTTGTGAAAAACTTTGCTGTTCCATATTTAGATGACGTGGCAATCTTTTCAAACACATGGGAAGAACATCTAAGTCACCTGAAAGCCGTTTTGACCAAAATAAAGGACGCTGATTTAACTATTTAACTTATAAAATGTAAATTTGCTCAAGATAAGAGTAAAATATCTAGGAGATATTGTAGGTCGTGGTATAAGAATGCCAAGTGAAGTGAAAGTAAAAGCTATTCTTGATTTTTCAGTGCCATCCACAAAAAGTCAAGTCAGAGCATTTTTAGGATTAGCGGTATATTATAATCATTACATTCCCATGTTCTCATCTATAGCAGCAACTTTAATCAAAACTTTGAAAAGAAACTTAAAGAAAGGGAAAATACATTGGACAGAAGAGTGCACAAAAGCATTTGAAGAGCTAAAGGAGAAACTGTCTCAAAGGCCACATGCACCTGATTTCAATAAGGAGTTTATTTTGCAAACTGATGCTTCAAACTCTGGTATGAGTGTCATTTTAACTAAAAAAGATGAACGAGACAATAAACATCCAATATTATACCTTAGTAAGAAGTTTACAGAAACTGAAAAAAGTACTCTACCACAGAAAAGGAATGTGCTGCCATAATGTTTGCTGTAAAGAAATGTCAATGTTATTTACACAGGCATACTAAATTCCTCATCATGACCGATCATAATCTCCTAGTTTGGCTCAAAAATAATGTGAGTCTAAATCCACGCCTTACGAGATGGGCACTAGTACTACAACCCTACAATTACACGGTCGTTCATCAAAGTGGTAAAAACCATAAAAATGTAGACGCATTAAGTCGTACTCCCTGGCCTGATTAAATAATTTATTTCCCCTATATAGATTATTATTATTATTATTATTTTTTTTTTTTTTTTTTCCTCTCTTCCTTACTACATATTATTATATTATATACTAGGTGTACCCGCCCGGCATTGCCCGTGCATTTAGAAAATGCAGATAAGTGAATAGCGCAGGAATAGTAGTGTAGGACATGTAGACTGTCTCTCTCTCTTCCCCCCCCACAAGCTACAAAAAAGAAATGAATTGTAATTAATCGATTTAATGTATCGTCAAAACAGCAAACTAACGCTAGAATAAAGAAATCAATTGTTACAATCGAACGTTATTTGAAAACAAATAATAATATCAGTGAGTCAAAAAACCGTGATTAATTAATTATAAATAATTTTTTTTAAATTTTTCTAATTCAAAAATCGAAAAATCGGGCTTCGAGGTCTGGTGGCCCAGACCCCTTGTGCTTCCGTATACAAAAATTCCAGGTCCCTGCGTGCGATAGATTTTGGCTGGAGAGCTCAGTCAGACAGACAGACAGACACATTACACTTGCTTTTATTATTATAGATAATATTTCTATTATGTATTGTGTTGATATTCTGTTGTTACGAAAAAAATTTGTAAATTTTAATTTATAAAAATAGAAATTAAAGTTTATCTGGAGGGGGGAGAGGTAGTAATATTTTGTTATTTAACAAATAACTATATTGAAGTGGTAACACCATATTTGTATATGTAACTGCTGCTCAGCAATGTAAGAAATTTTTTTAAATTAGAATTCTGAAAGTGAAGATCATTTGTTATTTTGTTAAATACTGCAAAATACGTTACAATACATATATTTGTATATTTTTTTAGGTTGTTTTTGTTATATTGGAGCAACAGCACTTTTAGTAAGAATTAAAATATTATTTAAATAGCAGCTAATATAGTTCATGTATAATAAAGCTACATAATTTTGACTATTATCTTTATATTACAAAACATCAGGTGACATAAATACTGAGACACTAGTTAAATGTGAAAGAAAAATTTACCTTTAATTTATGATCCAGTTCAGGAGGAGCTTTAGAATACACATAAAGCCAATGAGGAATTTCTGGAATATTAATCAAATAATTAAATAATTACCAAATTTTGAGTAAAATGAATATTTTAACATTAATACAGCAAATGACATACATAGACAATCAACATAAAATACATCTAATTATTCAAATTATTAGGATAACATTCAAATATTCTTTTTGGATTAATTTTAAAATGGAAAGTAATTCCACCACCGATATTTCCTAGATAATATTATAATAGTCTTCTTACTGAATATGATGAATTATTTTTTGTTTCTGCAACTTAAGAGATCATTAGCATTTGTAATAAATATATATTTATTATCATAATAACAGATAACAAAAACAAAGAATATAATGAATTTAAATAAAAAACAATTATAAAAAATGATATAAATATAAATAATTATAAAAATTTATTGAAGTACAATTTAATTTTACTTACCTTCTGCCGTAAATACGGTAATATGTAAAATAATTTGAAAAAAGATTACCTCTAACATAAATGAAACAAAGTGGAAGGTATTCTTACTGTACTATTATCATAATTTCCTTCCACTTAACGAGTCACTGGTAGCTATTTTGAGCAAAGTACTGCAAACAATTTGTTCATTTTTGTAGCATGAAGATCTAATATCCTCAGGATCAGACAGACAATTTATATCCAGATTATTTCTAGAAAGAATACCCACAATCTTGAGATTGCTAGTAAGACACTTAGTTTCATTAACTACCTGTTAAATGAAGGGAACCTTGCCAAAGAAGGTGAGCGATTATATAGTATTGGAATTATTTTTACAAAGTTTCTGGATTTAATATCAGGCAGTTTCATGAAGAAAAAGAAAATCAGATTGAATACCCAGATGAAAAAAATCTTGCAGGCAATACTGACTCCAATCCTACTAGTGATAAAATTCCTGGTAATATGAAGATTGGGAAAAACCAAGAAAAGTCGAAAGTTGATGGAAAGTGAAATTCAAAATCTTCATGTGATTCTGAATACTAATTTTATGCTGTTCAAGGAAGGAGAAGCTAATAATGCAATTTATGTATGTCAACCACGAGACAGAAGAGAAGAACGTCTACTGTTGATTTATGATCCAGGCCAAATATAATCTGAAAAGACATAAAGAACCTTTTCACTCAACATCAGATTATGGAATTCTAAATCTTTAGAAATTCAAAAGAAGTGTTCAGATTATGGAATTCTACATCTTTAGAAATTCAAAAGAAGTGTTTATTATAGTAAGAATGCCACGACTATCCTGGAAACTGATATCAAAACTAACTGTTGAACCTGAACATTCTTGTGATTAAGGTGACACAACTTGTAAAGAAAAATGAAAGAACTGCTGAGAAACTTCTGATCTTTTTTGTAAAAACAACTCACAATGAAGAATTTCGATGTACAAATGATTCTTCCTTGCAAATGAGCTTTAGGTCTTACAAATGAAAACAGTCAGTTTGGATGTTTTAACCACCCATTTTGTTCAAATGTCTAAAATCAAACAACAAAAATCAGCGTTATATTCGCAAATTTTCCGGGACTAGTTTCGATGGCAGACTAATAAAATTTCAGGACTAGTTTTGTGTACAAGATACTTAATGTACACTTGCTGACTAATGAAAGAGCAGAAAATTTAAATAGACTGAAGAAGAAGGACCCTTTCTATACTCAGACACCTTCCAAATACTTCTCAAGTAATCTCAATCTAACTCTGATTGCAAGAACTATATACCAATTATGAAAAGTCACTGCTCGCAATTCCTGGTTCTTTCCTCTGTCCTTAATATATCAAACTCTGCTTAGAAAAATCACTGAACTTGTAGCAAGCAGCAAGAAAACCAAGAGTCCAATACAGAAGTCGAAATTAGGGAAGCCATTAAATTACTTAAAAAATAGATTTCAGCATTATCCTTATTTTTTCTCTTGCAGGTTATTTATGATGAAATCCAAGCAATTTATTTTTTGCACAGATGACACTCCTGACTGGACCACCCCTTTTAATAATCTATCCATCAAACTGATGATACTCAGTTACATGATTTTTCCAGTCAGCTCAACTTTCGGCATCTAGTGCAGTTGGTGCTTTTCTGGGGCAAGTGTCTCTCTTTTTGCATTACTAATGCTCTTCTCCCTAATAAAACAGAACCTAAATATATATGACATCTTGCATGATATTCCTCTTTTTACAGGATTAATTTAACTACTTAAAACAGAAAACTTGGAAATAACTAGCCTGCACCAAGATATCCAGTATACCATTTTATAGTTGCAATGGTTTTGAGTTTCTAATTGTTAAATTATGACACACAATTTTCTTATATTTAGTCAAACCTTTTACTGATTTCTTACCAGATTTAAACTGATGATCTATAATCCGGAATCGCCAAAGTCCCAACGAGTCTGGATTAAAGACTTTTGACTGTATACATTTTTAATACTGGTGCTCTACTGAGGGTACCTTGCCAATAGATAGCAGCACTAGGCTTCTCCTTCTCTACTCTGTGAGGTAACAGCATTTCTTTACATTGTAATAGTTTATGATATAATAATTTATTTATGATTTAACCTTAACAAGTTGTTTAGAATTTGAATATTATGTTGATGGAAGGGATAGGGCAGTTTAGTGACCCTGCACTAAGACTGAATACAAGTATATTTGTTTCTTTTTATTCTTTTTTTTACTCCGCTTGAGTTTCATTCTTCTCTATTTAGCTAAAATTTTAACTTCAGCACTTCACCCTTTCCCAAGAGAAAGACTCATTGAATTCAAAATTTAAAATTCTGGGGTCAAAATTTTACACAATTGTAGGGGTTAAATGTTGCATGTTAGCCCTCAAAAGACACCCATTGCTTCGTGTTTTCCAAAATCCTAGAATTCAACGAAAATGAAAGGAGGTGATTGGCAACTGATTTGTCATTTGGGAGTCACGCCTTCTTCCCTTTGTGTGGTGTGATAAGATCACACAAAGAGAAAGCTTACTTAAAAATTAGGGAAATAGAAGTGCACTTAAGTGCACCATCTCTTAGTGTAATCACAAAAACTGTTGATTTCAAAGCATGCTTTTATTCTTATCATCTTTGTTAATTTTAGATGAAAGACGGGAACGCAAGAGAAATTTAGGGTTAGGCTAAAAATAGGTTGTTTCTGAAATAAATTTCACAGTTGGTGAAATGATGGAAAATATTTCTAAGGCCCGTTTTAGATGCAAACTAGAATTTATCCAAAAGTTTAAAAGGAGCCCCTAGGAGGCCAAAGGGGTTGAAAATCGAAATAAAAGCTTTGAGGTGTATAAAATAATAAAGTTGTTTAACGGCATTTCTTCCTGAACAAAAAGATACACTACAACTTATATTTACAAAAAATAAAAAAGTGGCCCTTATGGTCCTCGATATTCGAAAGTGTGTGTGCGTGGGGGGGATTCTTGGTATCATAGCATGAACCAAGGTTTTTTTACATATTATCTAAGGTGTAAAATATGACTTCAAAAATGCAACATACTTTCTCATCTGAGTCGCAGTGTTTCATTTTTCAATTTTTTTATTTTTCGGCTGTTATATCTCCTTGTAATATTATACTAGTTCAGTTATAGCAAAATACAATTTACGCATGCAGTGTCATATTTGCTAATTTTTTAAAAATAATAATATTGAATTTAAATCAAGTTCAAAAGCTTTTTACCCTTATTTTACATAAATAAGTTCAGCTGGCTTGCATTATCAAAGTGCATAAAAACAAAATTTTTTTTATTTTTCTATTGAAATTTTAAAAGTTCTTGTCTTCAGACTTACATAGCTATATTCAAGCACCCATCTCTACAGATGCACATTAAAAGTATGCAAAATTAATTTAAAAAACAAAACAAAAAATTAACAATTGGCAGCAACCTGGAAAAAATGTCTTAGAGGGGTGCCGGTATAAAATATATACCGGTTCTCAAAATTTAGGATTTCGCTCTAGATTTTTTTTAAGTCTCAATTTTGTGTCCTTAGGGTTCATAAGTTCATGCACAATTTTACCACAATTTAAATTATTTTATATACCGCCCTCAAAGGGTTAAAAAGGAAGTAACAGTAAATATTATTAGTTCATGCAAAATTTTACCACAATTTAAATTATTTTATATACCGCTCCTCAAAGGGTTAAAAAGGAAGTAACAGCAAATATTATAAAATCCTAACGGTAACAAAATAATTAGTCAAAAAGTGCAATAAAACAGAAGATTTATTTACCTTCAGTTTTTACGTAAAATTATAATAATGACAATTATTAAATTATAAATATAATACATGTCGCCCAGATGGTATAATAGTTAGGGAGCCTGCTATGGTACCGAAAGGCCCGTTTTTGAATCCCGAGAAGACATGGATATTTTTAAATGTGTAGCGTCGGTGCAGCAAGGCAGCATTCTAAATATGCAGCAAGCCGAAAGTCCTCTTGTGTGGATTGGTGGAAGATCCCCGGATTGTCCAACCTCTCTTTGGAGTTTGCTCTGGCAAGCATTGTCCCATGTAATACGGACACGACGACGACAACAACAACAACACATATAATGCACAATTCAGTTAAATATATAGTATACAAACTTGAACTCATTCACCATGCATTTATTACTCAAAGAAGATTTTGAACCTATTAATAGCTTTAATGTAATAAATTCAGTATAGAATATGCTGCATAATAATCACTAGCAGAGGGAAAAAATGCAAATTCTTTTAACATTGACCCATACTTTAACTGCTGCTTTTTAATCATTACTTCATAAACTTATTTCCTTATATTAGCACCTTTTAGCATATTAAGAGCATCAATACATGGTTTAATTTAGAAAATTCTTATTTGATGTTTAGCCCTATACCATTACTACCAAATTTTAACTTTAGAGACTAGAAATTTTAAATGATATAAAATCTCACCTTCAGTAAGATAAGGATTTGCAGGAACTAGAACATTATGCTGGTGAAAGTTTGTGTGCCTTGGAGGAGGCTGGCGATTTTGGCTAAGAAGAGATGCTTGATACATCACAGCACTTGTCTGACCATACTGAGGAGCACAAGGGTGTTCATACTGAGCTAGTTTTGTAATATGACTAAGGGAAAAATATTTAAATATATACATATACACATACATATGTACATAATACATATACACACATACACATTCTAAAGTCACTGATTATATATACAGTACAAAGTCCGAGATCCGGATGTCCAATATCCGGAATGATCTAAAATCCGGACCTTAAAGCCATCAACAAAATTTTCTTAGGAATTTTTTTTTAATGCTTTACGCATGCGCATTTGATTTTTTGCCCCATAAAAAAGCATGTGGAAAATCCCGATTCTTTATTTCACTTCGGTACTGAATAAAATATCTCGTTATTGAAGAAATAATCATTTTAGCATAAATTTGTGTGATCAGTAATTTGGCTCTGTAGCTGAGTATATGCTTTTCCAATTAATGGATTTTGTAAAGAAATGTGGAGAAGCAGTAATAAATAAAGGTATAACAGAAGTTTTTCATTGCAATGGCATGTTGCAATCATCAATCAATTAACGGATGGCGAAATCTGTAGTATGGTTCTAGATCCAGAAAATACCGCTACGGATAGTGAAGAAAGTGATGACAGGTTATTGAAAACAAAAAAATTTTGATTGACAAATTAGTCAGAATTCTCGATGCAACAACCGCAGGACTTGAACAGTGGAACTTTGTAACTGAACAAGAAATTATGTCTGTTTATAGAATTAAAGAGAAAAAATAAGCACAAAAAACGAAGCAACTTAAACAACTTACATTCAGAGAAATGTTTAATAAACAGATAACTATTAAGCTTGATTTTTTGTAAATTTTGATACCCTTTAGATCATAGATGCTTCATTATTTCCTAAATCATGATTTCATGTTTTTAATTTTATAATTTCTGCATGCCATCTCACTAGATTTAAACTGATGATCTAATATCCGGAAAAATCCCAAATCCGGAATCACCGAAATCTGGACGAGTCCGGATCTTGGACTTTGTTCTGTATATATAAAAGAGAAGAAATAAATGAAAATTATCTCCTATGAAATATGAAGTAAAATTTAGATCTAAATGTGTACTCTTGGGAAAATTACTAATTGGAAAATCTAAATAATTAAACTGAAATTGCTCATTAAAATGCATTAAATTAATAAAGAGAATTGTTGCTGATTCTCTCTCTCTCTATATATATACATACTTGTATATCTATACAATATAGGTATGTATGTATACATGAAGGTACACACATATATAAAACAAATAAACCAAAATACTACCTTTAATTCGTAACACACCCTTAGCTCTCTATTTTAAATCTTTCTGAATGGTTGTCCCATTTACGAATTCCCTATGAACATTTCTTACAGCTGGGTGCCCACCCATGCATCACTGGAGAGTAAATTCAGGGAACGGGAGGTGCATAACAGCATTTTAAGGCGGAATGTTTTTTAAAGACCACTACATGGCCTCTTATGTCCATTACTTTTGAACTGAACAATGGTTTAGCATCCTGCCTTCAGTTTGTATACATTCTGTGTGACTTTAGTATTTAACTCATCAGCTGTTGGGGAGATTGAAAGCGTATTGTAAACACAGCTCCGCTCTTTAACTCACATGATATAAACATTTGCATTTCTGATATACCTCCGAATCTTTTTTTAATTTTTTTTTTTTTTCTCTACTGTGTAGGGTCTTTAAGGGTCACTATTTGAGGTTCTGTTACACTTTGCATTGCTTTCACATACAGTTTGGATAATTTACTTTTTCATTTTGGAAAGTCTTTACTCCAGTTTATTATTTTATTATTCCAGTTATGAGAGGAAGAATATACTCATGGTAAATGAGCCAATTACTAACATAGATGAGAGTGTTGATTCATTTTCTAAAGAGTTGAAAAGTGAGATTTCTAGTGATTTTGATACGGACATTTTATCACGAGAAATTGCATCCCCATACAGTAATTGGAACACCAAGAATAAAATCTATAATAAATGCTGAAAAGAAATTTACTTCTTTAATATTTTCATTGATGATGATCTACTAAATTTGATTATTGAAGAAACAAACAGTTCTGCTCAAAATGCTCAAAGAAGCACTTAGTCAACAAGTCAGCCAGATTTTCAAAGGTAACTGAGAATATAAAAGTGTTTTCTGCAATGATAACACTGATAAGCATTATCAAAAAGCCTAATTTGAAAATGTTTTTCACTACAAATGAAATATTTGCTACATTGTTTTTCAATAGAAGTTATGCCTAGAGATATGTTCTTTAACATTTTAAAATATTTGCATTTCACCTCAGACAAGAGTGCTAAAAAGTTGGGAAAATTAGAACTAATTGTAGAAAACCTAAAAAGTAAATTAAAAAAAAAATACATAGAGGAAAATATTTGCATGGATGAATAACTTTTTGCTTGAACTGTGTTATGGGATACAAATATATACAGTACAAAGTCTTTAATCCGGACTGGTCAGGACTTTGGCAATTCCGGATTAAGTGTTTTTCCGGATTATAGATCATCAATTTAAATTTTGTAAAATGGCATGCAGAAATTATAAAATTAAAAATATGAAACCATAACTTATGAAATAAAGAGCAATTATGATCTAAAGAGTATCAAAATTTACAAAAAAAAAAAAAAGCTTAATATTTGTTTACTTTATTAAACATTTCTTTCAATGTAAGTTGTTTAAGTTGCTTTGTTTTTTGTGCTAATACTTTCTCTTTAATTCTATAAACAGACATAATTTCTTGTTCAATTTCACTGTTCAAGTCCTGTAATTGCTGCGTCGAGAATACCAACTAACTTGTCAATCAAAATTTTTTTGTTTTCAATAACCTTTCTGTCACATTCTTCACTATCGGAAGCGGTTCATCAAAACATGCTTTTGCTTTGTAGATCCTTTGGCAGCTCCAGAATCGGAAACTCTTTTTGACATCATCAAAAGTTCAAGCTTGAAGCTGATTGAACAAAATTTTGAGAACTATGGAAATTATCGAAAAGAAAAGCAGTTTACTGTCAGATCTGTACTAGCATCTATCCGATTACCTGATTTTCCTACCCTCTGTATGAACAACAACCAAAAAAAAAAAAAAAAAAAAAAAAAAAGACGGAGCACAGTTTGTCTACAAACCATATTAAAACACTCTGTGCTATGAGATTTACCACAGTCTTCATTTTAAATTTTGTTACTTCTTCTTGTAAATAGTCTATTGTATTTTTCATTAATTTTAAAGTTTATTAATGAATTTTGTAAATTAAAACTTTGGAAAAGTTTGCATAGTGCTTCCGAAATTTATTTTCCGAGGTAAGCAATTTTTTTAAATATATTTCTCGTGTAAAGGAAAAGATTATTAAATGATAATTTATTGTATATGACAGTTTAATAATAATGATAAAAAATTATGACGTTAGAACTCCGACTCCCCTCCACCTTGAGGGAAAGTCTAAAACAAAAGTGTGCTGTCTCGAAAGGGTTAATTTGGTTATTTTCCCTTTCTGTCTTAAAAAACAGTAACTGTCTGTAATAAATCCCTCTAAACTGCTTCTTTTCAAAATTAATCCATGCCGTATTATTTTCTTAACAATAATGAAGAAGGTACTTACATAACTGTTCAGCAAATAAGATTTCAAATTTGTAAGCCAAAACTTATTATTAACCAAGTAGGATTAAACAGGAACTGAAATCAATTAATTTAGAAGACAACCTCCATTTCTGATACAGTTCTGCTCTTATTTACTGTACTAACATGTTGTCACTTACCTCTCTTTCACCAATCATATTGTTATAATGATCTAAAAAGGGTATAAATGTGATCAAAAGCATGCAAACAGATTGTACACATCACACTTCGTAATTCAACTAAATGCATTTCTAAAGGAAAAAAAAAAATTTTTAGCTGGCCTCAACAACTGCTATTGCAACTACGCATCATGCTATTTTATGTTCTTGCTTATCATTAACATGTACATCATCACACAGAAATAATTCTTTTCTGAGATGAATTTTAAAATATTCCATTAAATGTCAAGCATCATGTATATGCAGAGCAGCAATTGCTAAAATGCTATATTTTGTTACCTACGACACAAAACATGAATGTTTGAAAATTTCAGTTTCTTATGTTTAAAATGAATATATGAATGTGAGATATATTAGGAAATATACTTCAAAATTCCATTTCTTAATCATAAACAATATTTTGGCTCTGAACAGGGAAAAATATACAATAAATAAAAATTGAATGTATTTGTTTTAACAGATACATTCTGAAATTCACCGAGTGAAAATACAAAAAGACGGTAAAACATATTTGAGTGAGTGAGTGAGAGATTATGGTGCAAAACCAAAGATGATTATAGTGCGCCAAACACGAGATGGAGTGAGTACGATTGATGAAATTAAAATACAATAAATAAAAACAAGTAGACAAATGTATCAAATCCAGAGGATGAAGTCATATAAGAACAAGTTAAAACCACACATTTAAAATTTAAGATACAATCTTTAAAACAAATTACATTAGGTGATAAAAGCCAGTTTCTTTCAAATAATAAAATAAATTACAATTGACCTCTCTTCCGATTAAACGGTCGAGAGGTAAGTCACAGCTATTAAAATATTTCTGGCGAAGACTATTAAAACATGGACACTCAATTAAAATATGACGAACAGATAAACAAACATTACAATTAAAACACACAGGCTCATTCTCAGCTTTTTAAAAGGTAGTTATGTGTCACTCTAGTGTGACCAATTCTGAGGCGAGTCAAAAGAACTTCCTCCTTACGATTTTTGGTAGATTCCCAATGCTCAATTCTAGGTTTTACTTGTCTTAACTTGTTTTGAAGCTGAACATCCCAAATTTGTTGCCATTTTTTTCGGACCTTTCCCTTGATGACACAGCAGATATCTCTAAAAGGGATAAGGCGACTAGACAGTTGAACAGTAGATTTGGCTGCGATATCTGCAAGCTCATTTCCCTTTATTCCAGCATGTCCAGGAACCCAGCAGTACAGGACTTCATATCCTCGAATTGTTTATATGAATTTTGAGAACAT